TGCTGTCACTGACCTACTGTAATTATTATTTCTTGAGGCCAAAAAGCACTGATTTTATCAATAGAGATGATAGAAAACATGTTTGCACTTTTTTTCTTTGCTGGCATCACTTGGTTCATTGGATTTCATAGCTACAGTTGTGTGTGCATGCTCATGCACGCATGCACACACACACATGCACGTATGCATGCATAAAGAAAAAATCAGTGGGTACTGAACAGTTGTCAGAGATTTGGAAAACAGCAAATGTAGTCCCAAAATTTAAGATTGGAAACAGGAGGCACTGAACTACAGGTCAGTATCACTGACATGCACACCATGTAAGGTAATGGGGAAGGTAATCAGGAGACTGGTAAAGGACTTGGCAGTGATTTTATAAACGGTAATCAGCACGGACTTAGAGAATGGCAAAATCTTGTTTTAATGACCTACTGGAGTTTTATAACAAGGTAACAAGTAAGGCAGGAAAGGAGAGTAAGGAAACGGTAGGTTTCATATTTTCGGACAGTAAAAAGGCTTTCAGTGCAGTACCACGTAAGAGACTAGGATAAAAGCTAGAGAAGAAGGCTGGAATAACAGGGAAGGCACTGCAGTGAATCAAGGAATACTTAACAGAAAGAAAGCCATGAGTGATTGTCTGGGAAGAGGTATTGGAATGGATGCATGAGAGTTGGGGTTTCACAAGGATCAGTACTAGGGCCAGTACTATTTCTTGTATGCATGCATGAATAACATGACGGAAGGGTAGTCAGAGGTACAGTAGGTGACCAACTTTCACGTGAGTTGTGTTCCAGAAAAATGGCTATATGTGAAAACGTGATAGTTGGAGTGAACGACTTGTGGGAAAAATCGAGTTACTTTCCATGCCACTTCCATTAAAGCTAAACAACTTTTCTTTTAGATACACAATTCACCTAAAATAATAAACTAAGTATCATACAGTGATTTAAAAATAAAAGCCAAAAAAAAATTCCGCGAATCTGTTTGCTTTGTTACGTACACTGAGGCACTGCTGTCTTTGTTTAGGGTTGCTGCTTACCATGGCCCCCCAGTCCTTTTCTCAATCTGTATGGCTAAGTTCTACGTTATTTAACTGAGTGGTGACCTGTACTTAGCTCTCAGTGGTTACCTGCACTTAGCTCTGTGAAGACTTGTTTGTGTGCTCTCTTTGAATCTGAACCAAGATGCCCTCTCTTGAGCAACTTTACCAGCAGCTAAAAGAGGAACTTAGGGTTGCTAAGCTGGAGATACGGCGATTAACGGAGGAGAACAAGAGGATTCGTAGTAATCCTCCTGCTGTGAGTCCTCAGGTTAAGAGGGGAACCTGGTCAGTGGCCAGGCAACATGGAACCAAGCTTAGGGTCAAGAAGACTGTTGGAGAGGCAGAAACAATGAAGAACCAGAAGACTACTGTAGAAACTTCCAACCCATTTTAAGTGCTACCTGACGAATGTGGGTTGTGTACTGGGAACGTCACAACGAGCACCAAGGAAGCATTGGCAGTTGTGAGTGAGACATCCCTTGAAACCCCAATGAAGACCATTGAGAACATAATGATGAATTCCACAAGTGAAGGTAAGAACATTGTTTTAGTTGGAGACAGTCAGGTTAAGTTTATGGATAGGGCCTTTTGTCTTAGGGACAGGAAGAGGAGGCAGAGGGTATGTTTTCCTGGGGCTGGGATGGGGGATATTGTTAGCCGTCTGGACGACATCATGAAAGGTAATGGGAGCAATCCTATTATCTGCCTCAGTGCAGGAGGCAACGATGTTGGCAGACGTAGGAGTGAGGACCTGATTAGCAGGTATAGGTCAGCAAAAGAAATAGTTAGGAAGAAGGGTGGGAACCCTGTCATAAGTGTTATTTTGCCAAGAAGAGGAGTTGGAAGCGAATGGTTGTCCAGGGCAATTGGTGTCAATTGCTGGCTGGACAAATACTGTAAGGAAAATGCAGTAGCATTCATTGACAATTGGGACCTCTTCTATGGCAGAAATGACATGTATGCCAGGGATAGGGTTCACTTATCTAGGTCTGGGGTGGGGACACTGGCAACTGCAGTGGAGGGAGCTGTTAGGGCTTAAACTAGGAATAGTGGTATGGGTTTTGGCATGAATACAGTGAAATCCCAGTGTAGTAATATGAGTTCTAGGGGAACTACTAATAGGCAGAATGAGGTGGATATTGGAAAGCCAGTGGCACTAGGTGACAAGGACAGTAATAGGTTTAGTGGAAAAACAGAAATGAGCAGAAAGGGTAAAGACAAAGGAGGGTCTTTAAAAATATATTATGCTAATAGCCGTAGTGCTAGGAATAAGATGGACGAGTTGAGAATAGTTGCTAGTGCAGGTAACATTGATGTATTTGCCATCACTGAGACATGGTTTAATTCCAAAATTCGGGACATGCCTGCAGAATGTCAAATTCAGGATTTTAAATTGTTCCAAGTAGATAGAAGTATTGAGAATGGGGGTGGGCTGGCACTGTATGTCCGTGATCACTTGAACTGTTGCATAAAAACGGGTATAAAGTCTGAAGTAACACAAAGAGTCTGGATAGAATTTTCAGAGGGGCATGAAAAATTGATTCTAGGAGTGATATACTATCCCCCAAACTTAGATAGGGAGCAAGGGAGATTACTATGGGAGGAAATTGTTAAGGTCACAATGCACGATAATGTAGTAATTCTAGGGGACTTTAACTTTAGTCAGATTGATTAGAATTTCTTGACTGGGAATTTAGAATCAAATGACTTCTTAGAAATCTTCTACCACTTTTCTGACGAAGAATTGAGTTTGTCTGAATCCTCCAGAAGTTCTGTGATATATACGTTTGAATCATTTATCCTACCTATCTTTGTGTCATCGGCGAATTTGCTCATATCACTTTTAATTCTCTCGTCAAGGTCATTGATATAATAAACAACAACGGGTCCAAGACTGATCCCTGTGGAACGCCACTTGTTACAGATCCTCACTTGGATTTAACCCCATTTAAGCATACTCTCTGCTTCCTATTGGTGAGCCATGACTCAATCCATGACAACACTTTTCTCCCAGTGCCATGAGCTGCCACTTTCTTTAACAGTCTCTGGTGCGGTACTCTATCAAAAGCCTTACTAAAATCTAAATAAACAGTATCGAATTCTTAATCATGATCAACGGCCTCATAAGCTTTACTGAAGAAGGTTAATAAATTAGTTAGACAAGAACGGCCTCTCGTGAATCCGGGTTGAGTATCATTAATCAAGCTATGCTTATTGAGATGGCTTCTTATAATCTCAGCTATAATTGACTCTAGTAATTTACCTACAATTGAGGTTAGGCTTATTGGGCGGTAATTTGACGGCAATGACTTGTTCCTTGCTTTAAAAATAGGAATTACATTAGCCATCTTCCACATATCAGAAACTACACCTGTTTGAAGATAAATATTAAAAATATTAGTCAATGGTTCACAAAGTTCCATTTTACACTCTTTAACCCTTAACTGGTCCAAAAGTATATATGCGTTCTCTCGCGTAACGCCCCGAATATTTTGAGAAAAAAAATCTTTTTTTTTATATATAGGAAAAAAGAGCATGTGATACCAAGGCATCCCCAATTTTTTTTCATATGGCACACACTGAGTGCGCACACCCATTCTCTCATGTCTAGGTGACTCAGGCCTATTGTGCTAATGTTGAATGAATGACAAAATGAAACATATATATACGTTTGGGGCGCTACGCGGGAGAACGTATATATACATTTGGTCTGTTTAAGGGTTAAGAACCCTTGAAAAAAGTTCATCAGGGCCCAGGGATTTATTATGCTTTAATCGGTCTATCTGTTTTATAACCATTTTGCTAGTGACTAAGATACTGCATAATTTATCATCTTCAGGCCCACTATTAAAATTAATTACTGGGATATTGTTAGTGTCTTCCTGAGTGAAAACCGAGAGAAAATAATGTATTAAGAGTAGAGCACATTTCATTCTCCTTGTCAGTAAGATGCCCAGAGTTGTTTTTAAGGGGACCTATCTTATCTCTAACTTTTGTTCTATAAACCTGGAAAAAAAACTTTTTTTGAGTGGGACTTGCACATGAGTGAGAGGGGTTGGATTTGAGTGGGACTTGCATGTGAGTAAATAGGATTATTAAAGCTTATTGCTTGGGTAATGTTTATTCTGTTAGTGGGCTGGATTTGTGAAGGACCTGCCAAGTGTGGGCCAGCATGCCTGCTGCAGTGTTCCTCCTTTCTTATGTTCTTATGAATTTGCAGGGATTTTTGCAAAGAATTATTGGATAGGTTCTAAGGAAAAATCTGCGAGTTACTGAAGCCTTGAATTCAGAACCTCAAATTCGGAACCTCAAATTCATGGGGGCCACTGTACATAGCTTATCCTCGACCAAATGCCATGTGTTTGGGCACTCACTTAGTCCTAGTAAGCATGACAGTATCACGGGTGAGGCATTATCATGCAGTAAATTTATATCCAAAGTAAGATTTGTCTTATATTGAACCAGGCTTGCTTGTACATGTATATGTGGCATTGCATGGCAAAATGAATAAGCCTGACCTATGGCTGAGAGTAGCGAGACTCTTGAAACTCATCAAAGGTAAGTATCAAATTCAAACAGTGGAGAGAAATGTAGGTGTGGGGGCTATGACCTAACTTACATTACACAGATGAAACATTAAGAAATCAATTTGTTCGCTAACCTGAATTTTGTCAGTGGTGGTGCTCATTTATTTCTGCTGCTGCACAGTGTGTCTTACAGTAAGGTAGTTGGTTCACTGGTGCTGAAAAGGTAAGTAGTGACTAAAAGTTGGAGCAGATGGGAATGAAGGAGAGAGATTTCTTTTAGATCATAATTTTTTTTTTATTTATTGTGAGGTGTACTTTATTAGGAGACTGAGGATACCTCTCTTGATCACTGTAATTTGGTTGAATTATGTCTGTTCTTTTTCTCTTATGTCCTGTATCATTACTCTGAAATATTGTTTCTTGTATTGCAGATTAGCTGAGCTTCAGTCTGATGACTTCCACCTTGATCGTGCACTATTTTTTGCATGTCGTGAAGATCGTGAAAAGTTCTGTGAGAATATACGATCTGGAGAGGGTCGTGTCTACAAGTGCCTTATGAAACACAAGACTGAACGAGGAATGAGCAAGGAGGTATTGGGTTTCTGTCATGATAATTTATTTTATTATATCCTTCTCATGAAAAGAAATTTACAATGTATTTATGAAGTAATCTTTTGCCATTCTGTAAATTTTTTTTTTTTTTACTTATACAGTGGACCCCCGCATAACGATCACCTCCGAATGCGACCAATTATGTAAGTGTATTTATGTAAGTGCGTTTGTACGTGTATGTTTGGGGGTCTGAAATGGACTAATCTACTTCACAATATTCCTTATGGGAACAAATTCGGTCAGTACTGGCACCTGAACATACTTCTGGAGTGAAAAAATATCGTTAACCGGTGGTCCACTGTATTTAACCCCTTGACTGTCGCAACTCCCAATCCTGAAGTGTCTCCTGATGTTGCAAAATTTAAAAAAAATTTTTTTTTTCTTATGAGATGATAGAGAATCTTTTCCCGATTGTAATGACACCAAAAACACGAAATTTGATGGAAAACTGACGGAATTACACTCTCGCAAAGTTAACAACCTCGGCGATATTTACAAATCGGCGATTTCGCCCAATTTGAGCCCTATTTTCGGCTAATTCCATTGTTTCAGTCAACCAAACTCATAGCTATTTCTTTAGAACTCCATTTTTTCTATCGATTAAGTACAAGAAACTGCCCATTTACCAATTACAACTACCCAATAACGTGGTCAGAAATTTGCAATTTGGCCAATTTCACGAAAATTAAAAAATATGACAATTTCAAAATAAGGTCCAGAATGAACAATGCAGACATTCCTGGCTCTAAAATAACATTTTCTTTGTTCATCAGTCACATCTCCAAGCCACTCTATTACTCTTGCTTTCTATTTTGAATTTTTATTCAAACAAAAAATAGAAGATTTACTGTTATGCAGACTACTGCAATACCGTAATAATTGTAGAAATAACATGAACCCATTCATGACTGCATATTAGAATGGCTAGTTGGACATTTATTGGACAATGACATCATTTGTTTACTTTTGAACATCGGCAAAAATCAAACATTTCCCCTACCTTGAGCTCCATTTCCAGGTTCTTTTTATAGTAAAATCAATCAAAATCATATCTATTTCTATAATATGTTTTCCATTCTATCAAATGAGACCAAGAAAACGAGAATACAACCATAAATGCTATACGAAAATAGACCACACAGTTGGCATTTTAATTTAAAAAAAACGGTCGGAGTTTTTTTTTTTCTCATCATGCACTGCATGCTCCAGGATTTTTTTTATATGGTGCACACTGACCACACAGACCCATTCTCTCACATGTGGGCCTACCAGCTTTCTCCTGCTTGATTTGAAGCCGCTAGAATTTATGAGTACAGTGGACCCCCGGTTTGCGATGGCATCGGTATCTGATAAATCCGATATTCGATACATTTTAACACAAAAATTTTTCCTCGATTCCCGTTAAAAAACCCGGTATACGCGATTCGTCCGAGACGTGTCCACGTGTGGCCTGAACTGCCCTGTGTGTGCCAGTGTTTACAAGCCAGCCAGTGTGCTCCCATCTAAGGATACATTCGGTACATTCCATATTATCACAGTGTTTTTGGTGCTTGTTTCTGCAAAATAAGTCACCATGGGCCCCAAGAAAGCTTCTAGTGCCAACCCTTCGAGAAAAAGGGTGCTAATGACTATTGAAATGAAGAAAGAGATAATTGCAAAGTACAAAAGTGGAGTACGTGGAGCTGGCCAGTTTGTATACAAAACCCCAATCAACCATCGCTACTATAGTGACCAGGAAAACGGCAATCAAGGAAGCTGTTGTTGCAAAAGGTGCAACTGTGATTATGAAACAGCGACCACAAGTGTTAGAAGATGTTGAGGGACTGTTATTGGTGTGGATAAATGAAAAACAGCAGGAGATAGTATCTCTGAAGCGATCATTTGTGAAAAAGCTAGGAAGTTGCATGCCGATTTAATTAGAAAAATACCTGCAACTAGTGGTGATGTGAGTGAATTTAAGGCCAGCAAAGGTTGGATTGAGAGATTTAAGAATCGTAGTGGCATACATAGTGTGATAAGGCATGGTGAGGTTCCAGTTCGGACCAAAAAGCAGCTGAAAAATATGTGCAGGAATTCAAGGATTACATAGACAGTGAAGACTTGAAACCTGAACAAGTGTTTAATTGCGATGAAACAGGCCTGCTTTGGAAGAAATTGCCAAGCAGGACCTACATTACTCAGGAGGAAAAGGCACTCCCAGGACATAAGCCTATGAAAGACAGGCTTACTCTTCTGATGTGTGCCAATGCTAGTGGTGATTGCAAAGTGAAGCCTTTATTGGTGTATCACTCAGAAACTCCCAGAGCGTTCAGGAAAAAAGAATATCCTCAAGGCTAATTTGTGTGTGTTGTGGAGGGCAAACAGTAAGGCATGGGTCACTAGGGACTTTTTCTATGACTGGTTACACCATGCATTTGCCCCCAATGTGAAAAATTACCTAATTGAAAAGAAATTAGACCTTAAATGCCTCCTGGTATTAGACAATGCCCCTGGTCATCCTACAGACTTGGCAGAGTGACTTTCTGGGGACATGAGCTTCATTAAGGTCAAGTTTTTGCCTCCTAATACCACTCCTTTCCTGCAGCCCATGGACCAGCAGGTCATTTCCAACTTCAAGAAACTGTACACAAAAGCTATGTTTCAAAAGTGCTTTATAGTGACCACAGACACTCGATTGACACTAAAAGAGTTTTGGAAGGATCACTTTAATATCCTCAATTGTGTAAACCTTATAGGTAAGGCTTTGGAGGGAGTGACTAAGAGGACCTTGAACTATGTTTGGAAAAAAACTGTGGTCAGAATGTGTGGACAAAAGGGATTTTGAAGGGTATGAGGCTAACCCTGGGAATCCTATGCCAGTTGAGGAATCCATTGTGGCATTGGGGAAGTCCTTGGGGTTGGAGGTTAGTGGGGAGGATGTAGAAGAGTTGGTGGAGGAGGACAATGACAAACTAACCACTGATGAGCTGCTAGATCATCTTCAACAGCAAGAGGCCAGACCTGAGGAAATTGCTTCAGAGGAGGGGATAGAGAAATTGAAGAAGTTGCCTACTTCAAAGATTAAGGAAATGTGTGCAAAGTGCCTTGAAGTGCAAACCTTTTTTGATGAAAATCACCCTGACACAGCTACTGCAAGCCGTGTTGGCAACCTGTACAATGACAATATTGTGAACCACTTTAGGAAAGTCTTAAAGGAACAGGAAGTACAGAGCTCTATGGACAGATCTGTTGTGAGACAGAGGTCCAGTGACTCTGAAGCTGGTCCTAGTGGCATTAAAAGAAGGGAGGTAACCCCAGAAAAGGACTTGCTACCTCAAGTCTTAATGGAAGGGGATTCCCCTTCAAAACAATAAGTTCAACACTCCCCTCCTCTCATCCCATCAATCATCACCAGATCTTCAATAAACGTAAGTGTCATGTATTCTATTGTTAGTAGAGTACTACAAGCTGTGCATGTCTTCTTGAGTTTGTGTGCATTAAACTTAATATTTCATGTGGTAAATTTTTTTTTTTCATACTTTTGGGTGTCTTGCACGGATTAATTTTATTTCCATTATTTCTTATGGGGAAAATTGATTTGCTTTTCGATAATTTTGGTTTACGATGAGCTCTCAGGAACGGATTAATATATGACCTCGACAGTCAAAGGGTTAAGATTAGGCATCAGTGATTACGATTCATCGGGCCAACTGTCCAGTTATCTTTTATTTTCTGTTCACTTCGATTGTTTTTGAGAAAATATTCTGATGTTTAATGTGAAAATACAGCCTCTCCTCACTTAGCAATGTACTTGTTTACCAACTATTCAGACTTACGATAGGCTCTCTGACCAGTATGCATACCTAAAGAGTGTATATTAGAGCTGATTTCCTCTGCTCTGTTTATTAAAATATACAGTACACTACTGTATAAACATTTAAAAATATACCAGAAATGTTATAAATGGTGCAAATGTGACATTAAAACAATATCAGAGATGGTTGACACAAACCCACTACCATTATAGTATGCTCCTCACTTATTGACAAATTTGTTTACCAATGTGGTCTTAGGAACGGAACTCCGTCGTTAAGTGAAGAGAGTTTGTATTTAGGTTCTGTCAAACTAGCAGCATGTGCATTCATTTTCTGTTTGTTGATGATGTAGTTTTAAGCATAGTACAGTGGAACCTCAGATTTCGAACGTATCACTTATCAAACTTTTTGAAAATCGAACGCTTTTTTCGAACCAACTTTGTCCCTATTATCAAACTCGCCCCTACTTTCGAACCGCCAGGTACCGGACCTGTCCGGCGGCCCACTCTGTCTGCATCCCCATGCAGGCACTGTGAGCAAGTTTGGTTTTGTTGATGCTTGAGTGAACACTAACCTGTGCTCTCATTCAAACATTTTATGATTATTTCATTGTGTTTAGTGCTTTGGGACTGTGAAATAAGCTACCATGGGCCCAAAGAAACTTGCTAGTGGTACCCCTGTGGTAAAGAAAGGGAGAAACACCATAGATGTGAAGAAGGAAATAATACAGAAGTATGAGAGTGTTGTGAGACTTGTTGAGCTTGCCAGGATGTAAAGAGGACTGTGGACAGTTATTTTGAGAGACAGAAACAGACGACTGTCGACAGTCATTTTGTGAGACAGAAACAGAGGACTGTGGACAGTTATTTTGAGACAGAAACAGACGACTGTAGACAGTTACTTAGTGAGACAGGGGTCCAGCGACTCTCAAGCTGGTAGTAGTGGCATTAAAATACAGAGAAGGGAAGTAACCCCAGAGAGGGCTATGATACCTGAAGTCCTCATGGAGGGGGATTCTCCTTCCAAACACTAACCCCAACTCCCTCTCTCCTCCTCCCTATCTTCCAGATGCCATCATCAATCTTCAATAAAGGTAAATAAAAATGTTATTTTATATGTTTATTTAAATTTATTAATACATAATTGAACACTATATTTGTTGTGTGTATGTAAAACTATAATTAATCTCTATAAAATGTATTTTTTTGTGAATATTTTTGGGTTTCTGGAACGGATTAATTGTAATTCCATTATTTCTTATGGGAAATATTGCTTCACTTTTCAGACTTTTCGAATTTAGAACTGGCTCCTGGAACGGATTAAGTTCGATATTTGAGGTTCCACTGTACTTCTATGGCTGTGGGTTAAGAAAAAATTATTTAGTATCAGAATACATTCGTTAGTTTTATTTTTTTATTTTTATGTTTACACATGATAATACTTGTCCCAGGCTATATACAAAATAATAATTTTGTTACTTCTCATAGTGTGTTGATCAGATATCACGGAGACAGCAGTTGACAGTGCAGGACTATCGAGTGAATCGAGGAATTGTCAGAGCCTGTAGGACTGCTATCTCTGAGAATTCCTGCCGGAAAGGAAGTTCTGATGACATTCATGAAGTAAAGCTCTCGAGGATCTTACTTTGTCTTGAGGGTGCTCTTCGAAAAGGTATTAAACATTTTTTTGAGTTGTAAGTGTAGATTATTTAACCCTTAGATGTGGCATACCCAGAAAATGAATTTCCTGTGTGTGAGGCAAGATTTTGGAGAAATCAGTTTTTCTAAAAGATTGAGGAAGTTCATTTTTATGAATGAAATAAGACTAAAGATTAAAATGGATGGAATCTGATAACTTACAGTTTTGTAATACTTTGAGGCTGGCAAAATATGGATTACTTATTAACATTTGCAGCAGAAATGTGCTTGGTTTATTTGTTTTACAATTAATTGACTCCAGATTATGATTGTTCTTCATCTTTTTAGTGTTTTTATGTTTAACACTATGTAAACTAATTTTTCATGATGTGTGTGCTTCAACATACTTTAGCCTTGTAAACATGGTAAATTGGTGCAAATAATTGTGTTTTATTCAGTTTTTTACTGGTTTTGTATTTTAGCTCTGTGATATTACAATTTTTTCTAGGTCTGATACCTCTCAGAACATGGAAATTAGTCAGTTTGTTGTTTGACTGTATTGGGTTATCCTAATTGTTATATAGTTAAGTAATAGGTTGGTAGACAGCAACTGCCCGGGGAGGTACTACTGTCCTGCCAAGTGAATGTAAAATGGAAGCCTGTAATTGTTTACATGATGGTAGGATTGCTGGAGTCTTTTTTTTTGTCTCGTAAATACGTAAGAAGAAGTGAATGTTTTTCAGATACTTGGGAGTTGACGCATCGGCGGATGGATTTATGAAGGATGAGGTTAATCATAGAATTGATGAGGGAAAAAAGTTGAGTGGTGCATTGAGGTACAGTGGACCCCCGCATACCGTTGGCATCACATAACGTTAAATCCGCATACCGCTACATTTTATCGCCAAGATTTTGCCTCGCATACCGCTAAAAAACCCGCTCAACACTGTTCGTCCGAGACGCGTCTAATGTGCGCCCTTAGCCAACCTCACATGTTCCGCCGGTGGCATTGTTTACCAGCCAGCCTCCGCGGTAACATCCAAGCATACAATCGGAACATTTCGTGTTATTACAGTGTTTCTGGTGATTTTATCTGCAAAATAAGTGACCATGGGCCCCAAGAAAGCTTCTAGTGCCAACCCTACAGCAATAAGGGTGAGAATTACTATAGAGATGAAGAAAGAGATCATTGATAAGTATGAAAGTGGAGTGCGTGTCTCCGAGCTGGCCAGGTTGTATAGTAAACCCCAATCAACCATCGCTACTATTGTGGGCAACAAAAAGGCAATCAAGGAAGCTGTTCTTGCCAAAGGTTTAACTGTGTTTTCGAAACAGAGATCGCAAGTGATGGAAGATGTTGAGAGACTCTTATTGGTGTGGATAAATGAGAAACAGATAGCAGGAGATAGCATCTCTCAAGTGATCATAAGTGAAAAGGCTAGGAAGTTGCATCAGGATTTAATTAAAAAAATGCCTGCAACTAGTGATGTGAGTGAATTTAAGGCCAGCAAAGGTTGGTTTGAGAGATTTAAGAGGCGTAGTGGCATACATAGTGTGATAAGGCATGGTGAGGCTGCCAGTTCGGACCACAAAGCAGCTGAAAAATATGTGCAGGAATTCAAGGAGTGCATAGAAACTGAAGGACTGAAACCTGAACAAGTGTTTAATTGTGATGAAACAGGCCTGTTTTGGAAGAAAATGCCAAGCAGGACCTACATTACTCAGGAGGAAAAGGCACTCCCAGGACATAAGCCTATGAAAGACAGGCTTACTCTGTTGATGTGTTCCAATGCTACTGGTGATTGCAAAGTGAAGCCTTTATTAGTGTATCACTCTGAAACTCCCAGACCGTTCAGGCAAAAGAATGTCCTCAAGGAAAATTTGTGTGTGCTGTGGAGGGCAAACAGTAAGGCATGGGTCACTAGGGACTTTTTCTATGACTGGTTACACCATGCATTTGCCCCCAATGTGAAAGATTACCTAACTGAAAAGAAATTAGAACTTAAGTGCCTCCTGGTGTTAGACAATGCCCCTGGTCATCCTACAGACGTGGCAGAGCGACTTTATGGGGACATGAAATTCATTAAGGTGAAGTTTTTGCCTCCTAATACCACTCCTCTCCTGCAGCCCATGGACCAGCAGGTTATTGCAAACTTCGAAAAACTGTACACAAAAGCTCTGTTTGAAAGGTGCTTTGTAGTGACCTCAGAAACTCAACTGACTCTACGAGAGTTTTGGAGAGATCACTTTAATATCCTCAATTGTGTAAACCTTATAGGTAAGGCTTTGGAGGGAGTGACTAAGAGGACCTTGAACTCTGCTTGGAAGAAACTGTGGCCAGAATGTGTAGACCAAAGGGATTTTGAAGGGTTTCAGGCTAACCCTGAGAATCCTATGCCAGTTGAGGAATCCATTATGGCATTGGGAAAGTCCTTGGGGTTGGAGGTTAGTGGGGATGATGTGGAAGAGTTGGTGGAGGAGGACAATGAAGAACTAACCACTGATGAGCTGCTAGATCAACTGCAACAGCAAGAGGCCAGACCTGGGGAAACTGGTTCAAAGGAGGGGAGAGAGAAATTGAAGGAATTGCCTACTTCAAAGATTAAGGAAATGTGTGCAAAATGGCTTGAAGTGCAAACCTTTTTTGATGAAAATCACCCTCACACAGCTATTGCAAGCCGTGCTGGTGACTGTTACAATGACAATGTTGTGAACCACTTTAGACAAATCATAAAGGAACGAGAGGTACAGGCCACTATGGACAGATATGTTGTGCGACAGAAGTCCAGTGACTCTGAAGCTGGTCCTAGTGGCATTAAAAGAAGAAGGGAAGTAACCCCAGAAAAGGACTTGACACCTCAAGTCTTAATGGAAGGGGATTCCCCTTCTAAACACTAACACTCTCTCCTCCTCCCATCCCATCAATCATCACCAGATCTTCAATAAAAGTCAGTGTCATGTAATTGTGCATGCCTTTTTCAGTTTGTGTGTATTAAAATTAATATTTCATGTGGTAATTTTTTTTTTTTTTCATACTTTGGGGTGTCTTGCACGGATTAATTTGATTTCCATTATTTCTTATGGGGAAAATTCATTCGCATAACGATAATTTCGCATAACAATGAGCTCTCTTGCACGGATTAATATCGCTATGCGGGGGTCCACTGTATATGTGGAGACAAAAAACGTTATCTATGGAGGTAAAGAAGGGAATGTATGAAAGTATAGTAGTACCAACACTCTTATATGGGTGTGAAGCTTGGGTTGTGAATGCAGCAGCGAGGAGATGGTTGGAGATAGTGGAGATGTCCTGTCTAAGGGCAATGTGTGGTGTAAATATTATACAGAAAATTCGGAGTGTGGAAATTAGGAGAAGGTGTGGAGTTAATAAAAGTATTAGTCAGAGGGCTGAAAAGGGGTTGTTGAGGTGGTTTGGTCATTTAGAGAGAATGGATCAAAGTAGAATGACATGGAGAGTGTTTAAATCTGTAGGGGAAGGAAGGCGGGGTAGGGGTCGTCCTCTTGTCCTCGAAAAGGTTGGAAGGAAGGGGTAAGGGAGGTTTTGTGGGTGAGGGGCTTGGACTTCCAGCAGGTGTGCGTGAGTGTGTTCGATATGAGTGAATGGAGACAAATGGTATTTGGACCTGACGATCTGTTGGAGTGTAAGCAGGATAATATTTAGTGAAGGGATTTAGGGAAACCGGTTATTTTTATATAGCTGGACTTGAGTCCTCAAAATGGGAAGTACAATGCCTGCACTCTAAAGGAGGGGTTTGGGATATTGGCAGTTTGGAGGGATATGTTGTGTATCTTTATACATATGTGCTTCTAAACGTTGTGTTCTGAGCAACTCTGCAAAAACAGTGATTATGTGTGAGTGAGGTGAAAGTGTTGAATGATGAAAGTATTTTCTTTTTTGGGATTTTCTTTGTTTTTGGGTCACCCTGCCTCAGTGGGAGACGGCCGACTTGTTAAAAAAAAAAAAAAATACGCAAGATTTCAGGTATGTCTTGCTACTACTTCTTACACTTAGGTCACTACACATACATGTACAAGCATATATATACATACCCCTGTGATTTTTCTTCTATTTTCTTGCTAGTTTTTGTTCTTGATTATCTCCTCATATCTCCATGGGGAAATGGAACACAATTCGCCCTCCATAAGCCATGTATGTTGTAAGAGGTGACTAAAATGCTGGGAGCAAGGGGCTAGTAACCCCTTCTGTATACATTACTAAAGTTAAAAAGAGAAACTTTTGTTTTTCTTTTTAGGTCACCCTGCCTCGGTGGGATATGACTGGTTTGTTGAAAGAAAGAAGAATATACCATAAGTCACCCTCAGTTATTAGGTGGGGGGAGGGGGTGTACTGTCTGTCAAATAAGGAGCACTGCAGCAGGCCTACTGGCTCTAGGTAGATGTAATTTCTTGAAGGCATCTTCCAATAAAGACTTGTTTTGCCAGCATTAAACACTTGATGTGGCTCATAACCACCCTCTGTAATAATTTCCTTTAATTCACAGGGAAATTCCCTGCAGCCACTTGGTCGGCTGAAGTACTTTCACCAGAAAAATTAATATACAATTGATTGTGCACTTTGAACTTGTGGAACCAGCCTGTAAATAGATTGTTCAGGCCTTTCTTCCTTATCACACACTATTTTATAGTACTGTAAGATATTTTTCCTTATTAAGGTGAAATAAAGTAGTGCATTTTTCTAAGTTTTCTGCACAATCTACTCACTCAATTTTTCATCTTATTTATTCTTTTCAGTTCACAACCTTCCTTCTAATTGAACGAACTGATGCTTCATTGAGATCATAGGCTTGCACTATCATCACACATGGACCACTCTTAAGCTTATCTAATCTCTCAATTTTTTCAAAACACCAAGACTTTCATCTTTAAATTTATTTCCCCTTCCAGCATCACTCACATTTCTCTTGGGTGCCATGGTTACTATCCAGATATGAGATAAGATCAAGAGGATAAAAAATCTATTCACTGACACAGCTGAGTATGGTATGGGATGCA